TTTTACAGCTGTTTTTGAAATAACTGTCTTTTAGAAGTTTCTGTATATTAATCAAAGATTGCATTCCATCATGAGAGGTTTTGAATCCTCTCTTTTAAGGGTGACCTTAAGGTGGACTCATCTGAAACAGAAGTTCCCCAGAATGGCCATTACAATTCTAAATTATCTCAAAAGTTTACTTATTTTCACTTGCTTAATTTTAGATCATGAATTTTGGGGGAGTTGAAGTGGGGAAGTTTAGTAACAGAGAAGAAAGGAGCAGCAGATTTGGTTTCAGCTGCTAGCATGTTTAATTATTTAATTATTTTCTTTTAAGAGGCAGTACAGTATTCCTGATTTCATTTAGAAGCCTCAAAAAATTAAAATAGGCTTCCCGTTGGTTATTTAACTCTGTAGCTGGCTTTTTCCAATTGCTTATGTAAAGACATCAGTTTGGGTAAACTGAAATTGCCCCATTTTGGCCATTTTAAAGTGAGATCTCCTTTAGCATGTTCAATTAACATTGCCTGGGCCCGGCCCCGTGGCTTAGCAGTTAAGTGCATGCACTCCACTACTGGCAGCCTGGGTTCGGATCCCGGGCGCGCACCAATGCACTGCTTCTCCGGCCATGCTGAGGCCGCATCCCACATACAGCAACTAGAAGGATGTGCAACTATGACATACAACTATCTACTGGGGCTTTGGGGAAAAAGAAAAGGAGGAGGATTGGCAATAGATGTTAGCTCAGAGCCAGTCTGCCTCAGCAAAGAGAGGAGGATTAGCACGGATGTTAGCTCAGGGCTGATCTTCCTCACACAAAAAATAAATAAATTAATTAACATTGCCTGAAGGGTGGATTTATATGCTCTTACAATATCAGGCAGGGGAAATATTCCCCAGTGAGACATGATGTTTATCTCCATAATACAATCCATAATACAATCAGGCAGAGATGCAATCACTTTACATAAAGTCCATTTTTAAATATACTAATTTTTATAAAACTTCATCTTAATTTTATCAACTCATATCTCTAATTACAACTTTTGTTAGGATTCCATTAGCAAGTTTCAGCATTACAGTACTGTGTAGGGGAAGCATTCCCAGCCAGACATAACATTCATTTCCAAAAAATACATCCAGACAAAGTTGACATAACCTCTTTATATAATATTATCTTAAACACTTTAATCTTTATAGTCTTATCAACCTGAGCAGCCTAACTGTTGCCCCAAACAATTGTTGGTCAGGTTTCTTATTGTGATTTCTGCCTTGTGGCTTTTTAAATTTTTTCAAACTGGGGTGAATAGAACAGGCTTCTCTGAAGTCATTTAATGTTGGGGGGCCAGTCCCATTCAACCTCAGGCAGTGTTTTATTAAAACCTTTGTTTTAATTTCTTTCATGTCTGTTCCATTTATCCCATTTTTCTCTTTAATAACTAGATTTCCATCCTGCTGAGATGAGTCCTGTGACTCCTCCCTTTTTGATTTTTCTTTGTTTTTCTTCCTTTAATATTTGTCTGATTTAATCTACTGTCTTATTTACCTTATTATTATTTTTTAACTCCTCTAAAAATTACCACCTTGTTGAGAGGAGCGCCTTTTTTCTCTCCCAGCTTCTCTTCACTCCTCTGTTAACTCAATGCCTTCATTAGCATCTGTAAGACCATGAAAGGAAGCTGAAACACCAAGTTTAATTAAGTTCTTAAGACTACTCATTGTATTTTCCTTTTAATTTGGTGTTTTCATAGGTACCAATAAAACAGCTATTTATGATGAGAGCTCTCTAAAACTTTTCCAACTTAAGGATCCACTGTTTGGCCATTTTTTCCTCCGGAGTCGAAAGAATATTGTGGCCATGTGGTGTTACAAAAGAAAACCATCTTCTTCTTGGACGTGGGCTCATAGCTGACTACAGCCTATTTAGCCAAGAGGTGGCCCAGAGGGCTTTTCTTGGGGACAGATGGAGTTGCCCCCATTTCAGAATTGCAAACATACAGAACAGCCAGCCAGACGGGATCCCAAACAGAACAGATAGCCAGAGAGGATCACAAATAGAACAGACAGGTGCACCCAACAGATTCTGGGTAAAAGTCCTACAACTATTACCAGTCCAGTAGGGCACCTTATTAACCAGATGGCCCTGCCTCTTAAAGAGACAGGACCCCAGGTGGAGGGGAAAGAAGTTCTTGGTGTGCACCTGAGATGACTTACCCTACTCCAGATTGAGTCCGTCGACACCAGAAGCAAAAACAAACAAACAAACAAACAATTTTAGAGCCTGTTTCCTTGCCAAAAGAAAATGTACCTAGGGTCAGCAGTGCTGGGTCAGATGGAAAGTACTGCGAGTAGTCCCTAGGGCAAATCACCTAGGCAGCTGCTGGACTGCTTCCCAGGAAATTCTAATCAGCCCGGGGCCTCGGAGCTATGGGCAAAGTGCCTCCTGGCTGACTCGCCAAATTGTTACTGGATACATACCCAGGTTCTTTACCCACCACAGGAGAGGGGCCAGATAAAACTGGAACGCCAGGCTTGTGGCAAAGAAAGAGGTTTTATTTTGGGTGACGTCAGCTGGGAGATGAGAGTTCTCAAATTTTTGCCATCTCCCTGAAAGGTGGGAGGCAAGGGGTTTTCAAGGTTGTGAGGAATTTGGCTGCTTGTAGGAACAGGGAGCCTGTGGCCTTGCTAGTTGGCGCTTTCCCACTAGCCTGCATTTGGCCTTGTGAGGCTGCTGGCAGAGAGGAGCATGGTGAGACAAGGGAATCTGCAGGTGTCCTTGGTTGTCTGGTGGATGGTGGACTCTGGCACCAGGAAGCCAAGGAGTTGAGGTCTGAGAAGCTTTAGCCTCTTGAAATTTTCTTGATATCAGTTTCCCCTTAACAAAGCTCAAGAACTGGTAATTAGCATCTTTAGAGAAGAACCGAAAAAGGAGGAGTGCTTTTGGTTTTAACCCCATATATTCTGGGTTTAATGTAGGGGAACTGATATCAGGGCTGGTGTCTTCGGTACTATTGGCATCTAGTGGATGGAGACCAGGGATGCTGCTAAACATTTCGCAATGCACAAAACAGCCTCTGCCACAAAGAATTAATTATCCAGCCCAAAATGCAACAAGTGCTGAGGCTGAGAAACCCAGATCTATATATAAGGGGATACAATACTCACCAGTAGCCTTTTTCACACAGCTTTTCCTTCCTTGTATTCTTTACTGTTTTTCTTTGTTAGCTGATTTTTTTAATTTATTTTATTTTTTCCCCCAAAGCCCCAGTAGATAGTTGTATGTCATAGTTGCACATCCTTCTAGTTGCTGTATGTGGGACACGGCCTCAGCATGGCCGGAGAAGCGGTGCGTCAGTGCGCGCCCGGGATCCAAACCCGGGCCGCCAGCAGCGGAGCACGCGCACTTAACCGCTAAGCCACGGGGCCGGCACTGTTAGCTGAATTTAACATCTAGTAGATTTTTTGTTTCTTCACAAGTGCTTATAATGACTGTATTCCCTCCCTTAGATGATAATGTCTGTTTATTGAATTTATATGGAGAACAACTTGGCTGGGTGTAAGTTTCTTGTGTTAAATTTTCTTTCCCTCAGAAAACTGTAGAGCTTGTTCCACTGTCATCTGGCATTAAATATTACTTTGGAGAAGCTAAAGGTCAACTAAGTTAATTTCTTTTGCTATGTGCCTGTTGTATAATAAAAGATTTGGCCTTTGTCTCTGGTTCCTAAGTCCTTGGAGACTCTAAATCCTTGGAATTTCCTGAGTAATAGGAGTGCTTTTCTTATTCATGAACCCCTTAAGTCACAGCTGACTTTATGCTAGCAAGATGACTCCCAATGAGGGGTCTGGTCACCAGAAAGATCAACCATGTGATTAGAGAGTTGGAGCTCTGAAGCCAGCCCAACCTCTGGGGAGGGAAGGGGACTGGAGATGGAGTTGAGTCATATGGTTAATGATTCAATCAATCATGCCTACATAATGAAACCCCAATAAAAACTTGGTGAAGCTTCCTGGTCAGTGAACACATACATGTGCCAGGAGGGTGACATGACCTGATTCCACGGGGAGATGGCATGGAAGCTCTGCATTTGAGACCCTCCCAGACCTTACCCTATGTGTCTTTTCATTTGGGTGGTCCTGATCAATATCCTTTATAATAAAACTGAAATCCTAGGTATAGCACTTTTCTGAGTTCTGTGAGTTGTTCTAGTGAATTAATTAACATGAGGGGATTGTAGACCCCCCTGATTTTGTAGTCAGTTTGTCAGAGGTATGGGTGGCCTGGGGACCCCCGAACTTGCAGCTAGCATCTGAAGTAAGGGCAGAGTTGCTGGGACTGTGCCCTTAGAGCTGTGGGGTCTGACACTAAGCCCACACAGTTAGTGTCAGAATGGAATTGAAATGCAGTATTGTAGTGCCTTACTTATTCTGCCTGGGTGTTTATGTAATTCATTCTTTATTCATAAAATTAATTAACTTCAGCCAGAGATGTTTTGGTGGTGTTAGCTCTATATCAGATCTTACCGGGACACAGTGTGTCCTATCGTTCTGCAGATTCTTTCTTCTGTTATGCTGGTTTACCGTCTTTCTCTGCTATAATTTCTGCCATCACTCTTGGTGACTTCGGTCTTCAGGTGAATGATCCATTCAATACCCTGGTGTTTCATTTCCTCGATCTCATCTCTGCCAATGTCCTTGTTCCTACCTAACCTCAGTCCCTCATTCTCATGATCATACCCCACACCTTCTCATTACCACCAACAGTACTACCTCCAAAATCTGTTTGAACAGCCCATTTTTTGACTAATTCCTCCTGTGTTGCCAGTTCACTCCCCTTTAGTACCTTTATCACAGTAATTCCTGGGCCCCACTAAAATCTTCAGTCCATGCGCTTGAACATCACTTCTTTTATACCCTCACTTATCTCTTGCCCATCTTGGATTCTATGTACTACTCAGCTCATTTGCACTGCTCTCCCTCACCATACTCATCTTGCAAAACCCAGCTCTCTGCAAAGCTCCAGACAGCTCTCTGCCTATTTTGTGCCTGCACGTGAACAGGTTAACATGGTTCTGGAGAAATGCACTTAGGATGTTGATGTTACTTGCTGATGGCCTTAAAAAATCCAAGTGGGCCCTCCTCACTGCCTGGCAACCCCGCTACATTTCTATAGTAGTTGGATACAACCAGTTCACACTTTCCGCTATTTCTTTAAACCTCCATCTCTCCTTCCTCCCTCTTATGTCACTGAGATTTATAAGTGGCTAGAACAGAATGTCCTCAGCCGCCTACCACTTAGTCAACCAAAACTCCTGCAACTCTGCCCATACCCCCTGCATTCCTTCCAGTGATGATGAATGAGTTATCTAACTTCCTAGTGTGGGGGATAAAAATTGGCCACCCCAAAATGTGCCTCTTTTGCTTGATTATTTTTAAGAACAAAAGACTCTGAAAGAAACTCTGACCTTCTCCCCTAACTGCCTAAAAGAATTTGAGATAGAATCCCTGTTCCAGGAAGGAGCTAACACCATAAGTTAACTGTAGTGTAATGTAAAATGTGTCTCTCAGGTCACATTGTCTACAGTTGGCCCATTTGCATTTCCATCTCCGTGTAAATTGCCTTCCTTCCCCTTGAAGTCCTAAACCACTACCCCCAACATCCTCCTTTGTCTTTAGCTGAAAATGGTATTTAAGGTGGCGACCTCAGCCATTCTGGCAAGATACTGTTTTTCTGGGTTTCTCCTTTGTATACATGATATAAAGCTTTGTTTGATTTTCTCTTGTTATTCTGTCTCATGTCAACTTAATTCTTAGACTAGCCAGCAGGACCTGGAGGGTAGAGCAATTGTCTTCCTCCCCTAGACTAGCTTGCGCCAATCTCTCCACTGTGCACTTCACAGCATCCACTCTCCCCTACTCAAGGACATTACTCCTTCACTTACCTGCCCCCCTCTCCTGCATCAATTTCTTGCTCGTTTTTGGACAAGGAGTTGTAGTAGAGAAAAATAGTCAGCCACAAACACATGGTAATATCTTCCAAATTAAAACAAAATATCTTAGGCCATTTGTCCTCGTCCATTTCTTCATTCCTCTTCTTTTTACAGCCAAATTTCTCTAACTAGCTATCTATACCTGTAGCCTTTACTTCTTTATTCTCTGTCACGCTGTCTGTCTCTCCATCTCTGTCTCTCTCTCTCTTTCTCTCTCATTATGGAAAAATTTTTAACATATATGCGGATAGTTAGAATAGTGTAACAAACTCTCATGTATCCATCACTCAGCTCCAACAATCGTCAACACATGGGAAATCTTGTCTCATTTATATCCCCACCCACTCTTCCCTCTCCTTTCTTTACTATGAAAGAAACCTAAGTATCATATCATTTAATTCATAAATACTTCCTTATGTATCTCTATAAGGACTCTTTTTAAACCTAATGACAATACCATTATCACACTTGAAGAAACTACAACAGTCCTTTATTATCATCGTTAAATATTCTTAATATCATTCAAAAATTTCACATTTTCCAGATTGACTCATAAAATTATGTTTTACAGTTGGTTTGTTTTCAACTCAGAGTCCAAACAAGGCCCACACATTGCATTTTATTGATACATATCTTAAGGGTTTTTTTTAATCTATAAATTCCATCTCCCTTATCTTTTTCTTTGGAATTTGTTGTAGAAAATAGGGTATTGTCCTGAAGAGTTTCCAAAATTCTGGATTTTTCTAATTCAACCCTATGGTTAAATTTGATGTGTTTTTCTGTCCCTTTATTTTCTGTAAACTGATAGATCTAGAGGCTGGATCAATTTTTAGCAAAAAGATTGTATAAATAATATTGAGTAATTCCTGTTGCATGACATCTGGGGAAACATGATATGTAGTTGGCTCTCCTTTTGTGATGTTAAAGCATCAGCCTGATCCATCCATTATAAGTTTCCATCGCCAAATGCTGCTATTGATAATCATTATCTGTATCCATTATTTCCTGGGGATCCCCATTTTCTCTGGAAACAAATCTAGTTTTCTTCTCCAGCACTCAACTGAAGGGTAATCCTGATGCTCACCCCAGGTTTAATCCTAGAGAGTAACCCAGTGTACTTGAGTCTTCTTCTAAGATTATTTGAAAGGAGACCTACCGGAGGATTCTGAGCTAAGCTATTAGAATCATCCTTGTACCCACCTGTCTTAAGAAAACCCTGAATAAGTAGGTGTACTTCCCAGCCAAGACCAGGCTTTTGAGAGATTCTTTTAACATACCTTTCCTCTAACTACTATCTCTCATCGTAAGACAACAACAAAAAGTAAAGAGGGATTGGAGTTGGAACCATCCTTTACATGGAGTGGAAGAGAAGTACCACTTCTTGAATGTTTTCCATATGCCAGGTGTTTTATATACTCATATCATTTATTTCTCACAGCAGCTCTATAAGGTAAGTAGAACTATGCCCATTTTTTAAATATGAGGAAACAAAGGCTAGGAGAGAGAAAATAACCTTGTTATAAGTCACACAGCTTGAAAGTGCCTCTGTTGGAAGGGTAATGCCCTTCTGCTTTAACATCAAGTTGTTTGATTATACCTAGAATCAAACTGACTGAAGCAAAGATTTTGACAATAAACATGTCAAAATAGCCCTTAACCTTGATTTCTCCCTACCCATAAAGCTTCCAAGGGAAGGGGAAAGGGGAAAAAGGCAAGGTGATGTAACTGATATGTGATTAGACCCCATCTTTCCATTCATATTCTTCCCAAGAACCCCAGGCTCCTACATAGACCAACTCTGGTGTACAGAAGCAGAGGGAAATGGCAGGCCTTCTCTGAGCCCCACTGAGCTCTTCCATCACTTGCAGAGAGCTGGGGGGGGTGGAAGGGTGGGGGGAGTGGGGCAGTGTTTTATGGAACTGGCATAATTCAGTCAAAAGAGGAAAAAAGATACCTGGAACATTCTCTCAATGTCTCCTGGATTCCTGTCTCAGCAGCACCAGCCAAAGTTGGCTAAATCTTTTGTCAAAATGTAAAATAGTCTAAAGTTATGAATATTTCCTGAAAATAATTTAAACAATAATAAAAAAAGCAACTTCAAAAATAAAAACATTTTCGTAAACAGTTCTACAGGAAAAAGCACAAAGCTTTTTAGATCCGTCTCAACCATTTTGTAAGCTACTTATAGATAGAAGAACTTTAATTCTATTCCATATGCACTTTGTAAGGAGAGAGTAAGAGGCATTTCATGGTGTTCTGGAAAGAAAACAGAAGCCTGACCACTGGTCCATGATTTCCCTCTGAGTCTACCAAGAAAACAACAGAACTGGGCTTTCTACTCAGGTCTGACTTCAAAACCCATGGTCTCTTCACTCTGTTATGTTCTCTTAATTTGTTCTTCAGCCTGTTCTCTTAATTTGTCAGGACAGTGTTCATAATCTCTATGGTCAGTAAGACTCTAACAAGAATAGTAAAGACATTCTGAACAACTCTAGATTCCCAGTGTGTTAGTCAAGATATGCTAGGCCATGCTGCAGAAACAAACAAACTCAAAGCTCAGAGGCTTAAGTCTAACACAGAAGTTCTTGGTTGATGGGCTTTCCTAGGTGGCTCCCCTCCATGCAGTGACTTGGGTTCCCTACATTCACAGGCTTTGCTCTCACCTAGGCCTCCTGAGAGTCCTGTGTTAGATCCTCTGAAATCAACCAGCTGACAAGCAGGAGAGCAAGAGCCAGAGCAAGGGAGCACCAGAGAGAAGAGCATTTGTGGGGAGTCTCATATGAATTTAGGCCTAGAAGCCAGCATCACTTCCACCCTCATTTCAATGGCCCCACCCTCACTTCCAGGGCACTGAGGAATTAGCCCAGCTGTGGATCTAGGAGGAGAGAGAAATACTTTGGAGAGTATCCACATCAGGAAAGTGATATTTTATTTTAACTTATGAAAAGAATACATGCATATGGCTAAAAATAAAATAAAAGCCACAGAATGATATAAAATAAAGAGTAAAGTAGTCACCAAATGTGTTGCAAAATGAGGGTGTATGTGGAGGGGGCTGGGTGGGATATGTATATGTAACTAGTTCTTCAACTTTCTGTTTTCCTCCTTGCTGTATCCAATATCCCTTTTCCATCACTTAATGGCCTCTTGGGATGATCCCACAACTTCCCAATCATTTTCAGTTATTACAAGTCTGTCCACTCAAAAACTTTAATCTCACACTCAATGCACATTGCACCTGTTCCACTCTCTCCAGCATGGGCTTGCTCTGTGCTTCTGGGAACCTGCAGCGGACAGGAGGGCTCTCCACTCTCCTGTTGCTTCTTCCACTCCAGCACCTGGGATAGAGACAAGTGGTCTTGTCTGTCTCCCAGACAACTTTACCCCCTCCCACTTCTAAGCTCTAGATCCTCTGTTGTGGGGGGTAAGGAAAAGAGATTAGAGTAAAAGGATTACCATGCTGGATGTGATGTTAATCCCCGGTCTGTGTGTCTATCTGTTCAAGCCCAGGCACCTTCTGGGAGGCTATTGACACACCAGACACTCACTCACACATCTTTAGAACACCCTATCCTGGGCTGCAGGCCTCTCCTCTGTCGTGCCTCCACCCCTACTCCCCTCTCTGTGTCCTGCCATCTGTCTCTACTTCCCTTGCTGGCTCATTTCCTCACTTAGCCAGGCCCAAGGGGACATCACCCCCGGAATATGATGCCAGTCTCTTCTTCCAGGCACTTCTAACCTTTATGAGAGATTCCCTTGGTGTCCCCCTCAGCAAAGGGGCTGACAGCACTGTCTTCTCTCCCCTCCCAGGCTTCTGATGTAAGCTGAGAAGAGAGTGGTATTGAGGGGAGCAGGGCCAGTTGAGCCACCTTTTTGCAAACCTGAGAGAGGTGCCTAGCTTAGTCTTTGTTGACAGTTCTTTGTAGAATGGAAAGGGCAGAGACTTAGTGCCTCTTCATCCTTAGCTTTGGGTTTTAGTTGAGAAATGTGGAGAAATAGTAGAAGTCTTTCTAAGCATCATTTTGATATACACATAGGATATATA